ATTTCAAGGAACATAAATTACGTCATTTTGTCATTTAATCTTTATTCCCAAAATATCACCTTTCTATAATCAGGGAAAGTAAAAGTAAACCTTGTTCTTTTTTTTTTTAAAAAAAAAAAAAAAACACAGAAGAATGGCTTTTCCTATGAAAGAGTTTTGTTTGCTTATAAAGGAAAACTCAACAAATTCAGAACAGCTATGCTATGATGGTGGGATTAAGCATTTTTTTTCTCTTTAAAATTTCCTTTTTATAATTGCCTTTTAAAACAATAAATGTGAATAGAGAAAGGTAAAAGATCTCCACAAAGTGTTATACATATGAGAAAACTCTTCCACCAGTACCCACTTATGAACATCCAGTAAAGAGTTGATCACTTTTTTTTAAGTGTTATTTTTGTTATAGGGCACATGCGCTGGCCGGAGAAACAGAGAGAAAGTGAGAAATCACCCCTCAAAGGGGATGGGGACGCCGCAATCCCTTCTCCATTCTTGTCACGTGATTTTGGGCATGCACACACATACACCCAGCATGAGTCTGGGTCCAGGACTCGAACCACAGTCACCTACATGAAAGTCCAGCAATGTAACCATTACACCATCTGGCCCCAAGAGTCAATCACTTTTACTAGGAATACAAAAGGCCTGCGAGAGATTTGTGTTCTAAACACAGAAACAGATCATCCTAAACATTTGAACAAGTGTCCATGCCCTGCCAACAAAATCCAGCTCTAACTCCTTCAAGTAATGAGGATGAGCTCACCAGAAGACAGTGGAGAAGCTCACAAACACTGCAAGAACTCCAGGAATCAGAAGGAGACCTTTCCAGTACTGCCCCAGAGAAGGAAGAAACTCTTCTTCCAGTTGCGACCTACAAAAATCAGTCTGCTGGCCTGGCCTTGGGTTACTTACTAGACTTCTGGACCAATCTGTGGCCAAACGAGCAAGGCTCCTCTCAGAAAAAGGATACAATAAGGAAAAAACAAGTTGATGAAACCACAGGGGGAAATCTCCACTTTGACACTCAAGAAAAGGGGATCAAAACAACTTATGAACACTGTCCTGGGGGAGTGCAAAGGCAGCTATTAAGCTAATTATAGAGCCTGAAAGAGATGAACTGCAGTATGTCAGATGAAAAAGTAGAGAAAAGCCTTCCAGGTAAAGGGACAGAAAGTGAGCTGTCTTATATCCTGTGTAGCAGTGATTTTTAAGCTGGGGGCAGGGGGAGGGATGGACTTGTATGATCTGCTTAGTTTTTGGTTTTGTATGTTTTTTTTTTTTTGAAGGAAGACAAAAGCACATGGAACCTGGTCTGGAACAAAGGCTGATGACAGGCAAGCTGGTCTGAAGGTTGCTGGGATCATCAAACTGGTAAGATTATGAGAGCGCCTAAAAGAAGGTGAAGAGGAGGAAAGGTAAGAAGAGGCTCCAGCTCAAGCTTAACTGAAAAACGTTTCGCTGTCTCCTTTTCACACCGTACACAGTCACATAAACAAGCCTGGATGTGGTGTTACATCATCTGACCAACCACAGAAAGCTGCAAAAATGAGACTAAACGTAAGACATTTGAAATAACAAAACAAACATTTCCTGCCAAATGATCTTTCCAACTAGACACATACACAGAAATCCCACTGTACTACACAGGGGTTCAGAGCAGCAAAGCTTATTTTAACTTGGGTGCTTAAACCAAATAATCACCTATTCCCAGCATTCTAAATAGGTCTCCTAGCAATCCGAAGTGCTTCTCCCAAGTGCATTTCATCTTTTCAGTTCCCTTCCAGTGTTCTGAATTCCTTGCCTTAGCTGCTGACTATAAATAGGACTTTGGTGTCTGTTCCAACTATGTCCTTCCCTCCCTCCCTCCCTCCTTCCATTTCTCTCTCTCATACAGGGGAACACACACACACACCCCTAATTAGAAAAGTACACATTTAAAAATCTTTAATCTCCTCTAAGGGGTACTTGTCTTTTCCTAAGAATCAGTCTTGGATGACATAAATGATTACCTACCTGCATATTCATAGAACCACTCTAAGCACCTCTTACTTGAAAAGGTTTCTTCTTCGGTCTTTATTCTAGTTGAATCGTATTTTCTATACATGCTAGAAAATGAAAAGACAATTTTTAGTTAAAGTGTAGATAATGAGCTCCTTTAATTAAGTAGCAGATCATTTTTATTCTCTTACCCAAACTAGATACTTATCTAATCAGTATTTTGGGCACATTTTAAACACTTACTTCCTGCATTTGCAACCTTGAGTTTCTAGAACTACGATGTTTAAAAACAAGGTCACAACCAGGGCCAGCAGGTGGCAGGGTGGTTAAGCCGCTAGACTCCCTTATGGCCAATCGTGGCTTGAGTCCCAGACCCGGCAGCTTGTTTTCTCACTTTCCCTCTCTGTCTCTCTCGGGTCAAATTAAAAAATAATAATAAATAAAATGAAAGAAATAATTATTTTAAAAGCAAAACCCAACCACATATGGTCACAACCTCCCAGAGCTAAGGACAGGTGCAGGTTTCTCTCTGAAGCAAGCAAGCACTCCAGCGAGCGCTGAAGAGCGCAAGTATCTGACACGCTCCCTCTACCACACGAGCCAGAGCTAACGACAGCAATGGCGACATGCGGCAAGAAATGCCCAGAGTGTTTTCTTCAACTGATGATCCTGAGAACTAGCACGCCTCTCTGCTAAATTCTCCTGAGCTCTGTGTGTACAAGTCGGGCTGGGCGCAGAGCAGAGTGTCCAGATGCCGCCAGCGGGAGACAGCTCAAAGCACAGCAAGTAAATAAAAAGAAACATCAATTCATGTCGAAGCTTCCAGGAGAAGAACAAAATCAGGTGTATATTGGCAAGAGAAAGACTGGTGGATGGTTTTTTAGTAGTACAACCATAACCACCTCGGAAGAGAAGTGCAGAGCACCTCGGCCCGGCTCTCCCCTGAATCACTGTGGCTGCGCCGGGCACCAACGGGAGAACTGAGACCGGAGGCACAGCAGACTGCCCTGCCCACCGGAACCTCCGTAGGAATTCTTTGTTCTCTGATAACCAGGTTGAGGACTATTGATACTCTACATGGAGAGGGGCAAGGAGGCAGGAGCTTTACAACAATCAGTTGGGTATAAAAATTATAAGTACAGGGGACCTGCAGTTAGTGTAACAGCTATGTCGCTAAATTCTCATGTAGCCGACCACAATTTGAGTCCCGGACCCGGTTTAAATTCACGCCAAGTGCGTGTGCGTGCGTGCCCAAGATCCCGAGATGAGAACAGAAGAGAAGGGATTGCAGCATGGCCATCCCCCCTGGGGGGTGATTTCTCGCTTTCTGTCTCTCTGTCTCTCAAGCGAGCACAAGTGCCCTACAGCAAAAAAAAAAAAAAACCTCAAAAAAAAATATAAGTATATACATTTTTATATCTTATTTACATAAAAATTACCTCACTAGTTCTATGTATAAAATATCATTCTGATTAATATAGAATATAAGATATGAAAATCATCTATTAGGTTGTTTGGAAAGTCATAGCATTTTTTTTTTTTTTGGAGAGGTTTTCACTACAGGGCGCGTGTGCTCGCCAGACAGATAGAGACATAGAGACAGAAAGCGAGAAATCACCCCCTGGGAGGGGGGGTGGTCACGCCGCAATCCCTTCTCCATTCTCCTCTCGGGATCTTGGGCACGCACGCACACGCGCCCGGCGTGTGTTTTAAGCCACCGGGTCCAGGACGCAAACCGCGGTTGACTACGTGGGAGTCCAGCAACATAGCCATTACGCTAACTGCTTTTTCCCATGGCATATTTTTCTATGGAAAACGGTGTCATGACTTTTCCAACCATCCAATATAATTCTTTCTTATTGAATATTTATTACCTAGACAATGACCAGAATATCTGTATATTCCTTTGATTAGAGATTCTGAGTTTTAATGCCCAAAAGTGAGCGTGGTGAGAGGGTGTGAAAGTGCTGAACCTGCAGACCCCAGTTCTGTATTTCTTCTATGAAGTAGCCGTAGTCCCCGAAATCAAAGGTAGGTACTGGCCAAGTGTTCAAATAGATATGCTCAAATCACGCACCCGAACTTTCCCATTGTGGCCAATACGCTGAGAGCTAAATACTTGATGCTGTAATATCTGTATTACTTACAAATACTCCAGGGGGCCTGCAGTGGCTGGACCCCACAGGGCCAACTGTGAATTCAAGTCCCGGATCTTGACACTTGGAAAACATACCAAGTGCATGTGTGTGCATGCCCAAAGTCCCAAAGGGAGAAATGGTGAGAGGACTGCAGTGTGACCATAACCCAGCACGCGCTTTCTCACTTTCCTTCTCTGTTTCCCTCCAGCAAGTGTATGAGACCCCTAGCAAATTAAAAAAAGAAAAAAAACAGGAAAGAAAGAAAGCTCTACACTGGGGCCAACAGATGGCGTGATTGTTAAGGCACTGGATCCCACGTGGCTGACCAGTACGCGTCCCAGACGTACCTGGTGGTTTGAAACGCACGGTGAGGGTGTAGGGGTGTCTATATGCCTAAAATCCCAAGAGGAGAATGCAGGAGAAGGGGCTGTGATGTGGCCATCCCCGATGGGGTTGATTTCTCACTTTCTCTCTCCCTGTTTCTCCAGCAAGCACATAGAACCTACCGCAAAAATTTCTCAAAACAAACAATGGGACCAGCAGTTAGCGTAATGGCTATGTCACTGGACTCCCATGTAGTCGACTGCAGTTCGAATCTCAGACCTGGTGTCTTAAACTCATGCTGGGTGTGTGTGCCTGTGTGCCCAAGATCCTGAGAGGGGAATGGAGGAGAAGGGATTGCGGCGTGGCCATCCCCCCTGGGGGCTATTTCTTGCTTTCTGTCTGTCTCTTTCTGGCGAGCACACGCGCCCTATAGCAAAAACCTCTCTGAAAAAAAAAAAAAAAAGCCTCTACCTGAAAAAGGACCAAGACCACTGGAATATACTGTTTGGTAAATAAAAGGTACAAAATACTGGTACATGCCATTACACACGTAAGCCTGAACAACATTACACTAAGTGAAAGAAGTGAGCCGCAAAGACCTTTACATGCAACGTCCAGAACAGGCAGAGGGGTTAAGACAGGAAGGGTGCTAGGGACTGCTCGTGGCTGACGGTGGCAGCAGAGGGGCCCGAATGGGCACCAGGGGTCTGACTGGGATGACAGGGATGCCTAAACTGGCTTATTCTGACGGTCTGCACAACTCGGTCAACTGAATAAAAATGAGTGAATTATACACTTAAAGTGAACTCCATGATATGTAGATAAAGTTGTTAAAAAATAAATAAAGGGCCAAGACTGAAACCTAGAAATTGCAGCTCAAGGATCAGTTTTTAAACTGGCTTTATCATACCGTTATCTTAGACTACGGTGAAAATGCTACTTGATGATTACAATGTACAAGTATCCTGATAACACCCACACCACCAAAAAAAGTATCAAGTAACTGGCTTGGCAGAGCTGAAAAATCACGGGCCTAAGACTGCTGGTGATTACTCTCACCCACCACCCGCATTCTGACATACTCTACCCCGAGAGATGTGAACAGGGACATTCCGTTCACATTTCCGGAGTCCGTCTCTCTCCCCTCCTGTTGAGCTGTAGCATAAACATCTCAGCAAGAAAGAGAAAGAAAAATCTCATGGGAAACCCTCTGATTTATAGATGTGGAATTTCAGAACCATTAGCGAAGTGACCACAGAGCCAGGGAAAGATGGAAAACGGCAGACAAGATTAAATGATGATACTCACTGTTTAAAAAGAAACAAAAAACTACTTACTAAAATCCAGGTGAAACAATAAAAATGAGTAAAATAAATCTAACCAGCCTCTGGAGTCACCAAAATGACTAGCTCACTTGTCCGAAGAAAAGGGGGTTATGTGGGAGCACACCTCGGCACGGCTGGGGCTCCGGGCAGGTGCCAGTGTTCAACACCGGCCCGTCTCCCCGTGCTGGGACCTACTGAGACCTCTTAAGGACAGAGGCCAGTTCTACGGTCCCCAGCAGACACCCACAGCAAGGCTTTAAAAGGAGAGGAACAACTCTACACCAGTTTTTATGGATCGCTGGATTCGGATAAATCTGGAATTTCTAAGAACTCAAACTACCTAATCTGTTTTTATGTTTTATAAACCCAGACATAAAATATGCATCATTAAGTAATCACTTTAAAAGACTCCCTGGCAGAACCAAACAGTATCCTAGTGGAGACTGAGTACTTAGAGACCCACAAAGACTGGGAAGAGAGGCGCGTCTCCGACGTGGATGTCATGGGCTGTGATCTACGTGTGTGCCCCCGTACCTATCGTGTCGACTCTTCTTGGCAGATAAATCATCCCCAGAGGCAGGTCTTCTCTTTTTCCTTGGCGGCATCACTTTACTAAAGCAGTCCGAAGAACTGCAAGACCGCAGACTTCCTGCAAAACAAATCGG